GGGGGGGGGGCGGGAAGAAATAGTCTGGGCAGCAGGCCGGTGATAAAATGGGCGCGGAGTCCTCTCACGTCACTTCGCAGCACCCGAACTCGGCGCACCCCATTGTGGAAAACGTGGAATGCTTCAGCGGAGCCACCGGGGTGAGCAAACTAAGCGGCACATCGAGTGAGCGAGGCCCTGAAAATCTCACCACAAGTAGTAGTAGTAGTAGTAATATTAGTGCTCACAGTATTCGCAGCCGCAGTGTTGACGACGCGAGCACCTCTAGCGGTGCTCTTGGGAGTGAGCAACAACAGCAGAGAAGGCGGCTGCGCAACCGACAGTGGCAGCCACCGAAGTGGAACACGAATGACAAACGAAAGAAACAACAACAGCAGAACGAGATGGGCCACTTGGGGGCGCTGGATCCAACGACTGGCACGAGTGCTATGTCGAAGCTGCGGAACGGACACAGCAGTGTGCAGCGAGCGCCGGCGCGATACGGCAGAGGTCTAGCTCTCGAAGTGCCACCCACATCTTCAGATGTGCCGGGGTGGAACGTGAGGGAGGGACTGGTACCGAATCAACGGCATCCGCAGCCTGCGGTGGTGACGATGGTGGGGGAGGACGATGGGATGGGCGTCCACATGGCCGGCGACGCATATATGAACCAGCAGGACATGTTGGACATGAATCCCGCACCAGAGGCCTACGGCTTTGACAACAACGACATACACATGCACGGTGCGAACGTCTCGACGGCTCCTGGCACAACGCCGAATCCGATGCGGGCTCCTGTGGCTAACAACAATACTGACGTCTCCGTTGAAACCTGCAGGAAGCTAAGCAAGAGTCGTGACGGTGATTGGAGTGTTGTAGTTCCGGGGTGCGGCGATGCTGGCTGCGGTGGCGATCTCTTAGTTGACGGTAATGTTCGGGGTGTAGGTGGTGGTAATGCTGCTGTCAGCGGCAGCAAAGGCAACAATACGGCTAATGGCAAGCACAATGGTGGAAGAACCAATAGTGTTTTGCGTTGGGATGACAAGGAGGTAAACCTTGAGAGTAGCTGCCGCATGCAACGTGCAAAGATGTGGCGTTTCGCCGATGAGCCTCTCCCACGCGAGATGATGGATCGGCCAAAGGGCGAGAAGGGCATTGACGACGGCATGAATGCCGAGCAGAAGCCCCAGCAGTTAGGCCACGAAGGGGCGGAGCACGATGCGCAGCGATTGATGCCGTTGCAGCATACCGGAATGACCAACAGCAGTGCGTCGTCGTTGGTGGTCTCCTCTGGGCACCGTAGTGCGACAGGCTCGATGAGCGTAAACCTCAACGGCGTTCGCGCGTTGACGGATCGTGCACGCGCTGTCGTCGGCGACTCTGGGGAATCGGCGTCGCGTAGCTCGTCGACGTGGGTGTCCGCCACCAGTCGCGGAAGTAGCCGCAGCGCGAGCCTCGGGACGCCGAGGTGGCTACGTGACAGTGGCAGCAACGGCGTAAACAACCGAAGCTGGAAGGAAGAGGGAACGTCACGAGTGGTGCCACCGCCACGATCCGGGACCAAGTTGCAGTCCTTTCGCGAGCAGCAGCAGCAGCAGCAGAAGCAGCAGCGCTTTCCCTGCCTTCCTTCGATGGAGCGGCAGTCGTCGTGGTTCAACAGGCGCAGCAGCAGCAGCAGCAGCCGCAACGTCAATAGGGACCCACACGAGATAACTGCGGAGTTCTCGGCCAGCGAGAGCAGCGCGGCAGAGTGGAGCATGTCTGATGCCAACGCGTTCGCGAGGGCGGGGTCGACTGTCAGCAACACCGGCAGCGTGGACGTCAGCTTGGACGACATCCATGACGAGCGTCGCGGGGACGACGGCGTCTCCCGCCCGAAGAAGGACTCGCGCCGCCAGCGGGTCGCAAAGGGTGAGGGCCGGCGCAGAGAGAGAAATGGGGCGCGGCGGCACAATGGCACTGGCAAGAACGCGAACAACAATGGGCTGCCGTCGCCTCTTCTCGGCGGTGGACACGCACGCACACAACATGACGAAGGCGGCGCGAGGGAGAACAGCGGGAGTAGCACCGCAAGTTTAGCGAGGTACCACAGCAGACTGTATGGCAGTGGCCCTGGCAGTTCACTGGAGGACAGCGGGAGTGGCGCCACGCCACAGCGCTCTACGCGGTTGAAGCGGCAACCGTCAATCGAGTTGTCATCGTTCATTGGCGGGCGGCGAACGCGGGAAAGCAACCCCCCACCTGGGTCCGGTGGCACACGCCACTACAAACAGCGCCAGCATGACAAAAGGGATGCGCCGCTGCAGCAGCACGAGGTGTTGGGTAGTTTCGCCAACTTGCGCCTTGAACACCACTCCATGGAGGGGCCGAACACCGTGGAAGACTTCACCACTGCTGGCACCCCATCACGTTCATCGCTGCGGAAAGAATTCCGGCCATTGACGTGTGAGCAGGACCGCTTAAAGGCGCTGCTGGAGCGCTACCAAGCGGGGTTGGGTGCTGAGAGCGAGGAGGATTAGCGCTGAGATCCTGCGTAGCTGCAGAGCCCAGAGACCCCATGGATAACTGGTGGGGAAGGGGAACAAAAGGGTTTGGGGTCCATGCTTTGGTGCTGCTGCGTGTTGCGTCTCTGGTTGCGATCAATGTTCCCGTGAAACGTGTAACACCATGCGGAGATATGGTCGCATATATCTCCAATGGTTCGGAGGTATCTTCTCCATATGTGTTGTATTTTGCCTCTCTGCGTGTTCCACTCACATCCTTTTCCTTCTATGATTTGCCTCCTCCCTGTATATATGTTTTTTTTT